CCGATTGACTGGTGTATAAATGAAGATTTAAATGGCTTCGTTCACCTCTTGGTAAATTACACAGTGAGATTTAAAGATCTGGAAACCGTAGCTTATATCAACGCAATGGAAGGTATGTGGCGTGTAATAAAAATAGATTTTTAGATTTTTAAAAGAAATGCCGTCGACACTTCGGAGAATATTTTTCGTCTTTACTTTTGTGAATTTATGTGGTGATAGCAGTATATAGATTCTAGTTCAGATAATTTTAAACAGTTTTTGTATGCTGTTAAGGAGAATTCTGTATGCCATGCACCGAAGACACAGAAATTTCTAAATAAGGTAAGCTGATATTTCCTTTTCGTATTGCGCAGGTTAGATACATATTTCTTTTGTATGTCATTTCCATGTTTTATTTTGATTTAAGATGCAAGTTGTTGAAATTATAGTTTTTTTTTATTATTATGTTTTGGATGCCGTTTTACTTGGGAAAGCGTTGCACATAAACAGGAGAATCATCAGAAATTATTTTTAACTCATTGCTGTTTTTTTTAACAACTTCTTTACTATAGTAGTACCTTTTCAGTCATAACAGTAACTTTCTCAAGTTTCATTTTCTGTCGCAAGTATTTTCTCATAATTGTCTCAGTTTGAGCAAAAAATATGGTATGCCTAATCAGAGTTTTTAGAGGATTGATGAAAAATAAAATGGTTTACTTTTTGGTTTACTACTAAGGTAAGATAATGTAATCAAAAATATGAAAAGAAACGACCACAGTATGTTATTTTGCTGAATGCCTGTTAAAAGATTAACTTTTATATGATAATGAGGCTAAATTAATTATGTTAAGCCCTCAAGAATTATTTGCCAAGATCTTTTATGATACCTGTAAATATGAAACAAAATTGCAAAAAGAAGTTAAATTAATTGATTATGTCAAAGCACTGAAGAGTTATTTGTCTGGGATGAAACATGCCTTTGTGGAAAGCATGAATTTAAGAAATTTTATGATAACAGTAAATATGAGATGAAATATCAAACAAAAATACATTTGGAAATAAATGTAAAATATGGTTAACTGATTGCTGCATGTTACGAAAACCTACAGCATTAAACTCAGAAACATCAACACGAGCAAAAAAAAAAAAAGATAACGTATATTTCCCTATATGCTTTTCAAGTCCCAAGTAAATAAATTCTCGTATATTTGAACACAAAGCTCAAACCATATGCTTCTCTAAGTACCTGGCAAATAATTGCTTGCATAATTGGAGCACTTTGCTTACGAATTGCAGAAATTTGAATTCATCGCCAAGCCAAACATACAGGGGTTGGACAAAAATATGGAAACCCCTTTAAAAAAACATATTTCTTTGCTTAATATGGTGTAGGAAACCCGTTGGCATCCAAAACAGCTTTCAGTCTTCTCGGAATGGATAAATACAGTTCCTGTATGTTTGCCAAGGGAACGTTATACCATTCTTCCTGCAAAATGGTGGCAAGTTCAGATAACGAAGTTGGCAGAGGATAACGAGAACGCACTTTCCGTTCCAATGTAGACCACAAAGGTTCGATAATATTCAGGTGTGGTGGCCAGGGGAGATGGGACAACTCATCCTCGTGCTCAGAAAACCAGTCCTGGACAATGTGAGCTGTGTGAACAGGGGGCTTTGTCGTCTTGGAAGACACCATCACCATCGGGAAACAAAGTTTGTACCATGGGATGAACTTAATCGGTCAAAATGTTCACATAAGTCTTGGCAGTCATGTGCCCTGACACAGTTATGGGGCTGGCAGAGAACCACGATATGGCTGCCCAAACCATAACAGAAACCCCGCCATGTTTCACTCTTGGCAACAAGCAGTATGTATTATAGGCTTGAGATGGAGTTCTCCAGACGTAAACTCGGCCAGAAGTGGGAAACAATGTAAAAGAAGACTCGTCAGACCATATTACTCGCTTCCACTGCTCTATAGTCCAGGCTTTTATGACTTAAACACAACTTTTCCTGTTACAGGCATTAGCATCACTGATGAGTGGCTTCTCAATTGCAGCACGGCCAGCAATTCCCTGTTTATGAAGCTCCCTTCTAATTGTTTTGGTACTCACAGGGTTCGTAACACAACATTCATTTCAGCAGTAATTTTTGCAGCTGTGGTCTTCTTATTTTTCGTCACAATTGCCCTTAATGATCGTCTGTCACGATCACTCAGGACACACTTTCGTCTGCGCTGTGATTTAGCAGATGATGTTTTTCCGCTTTTCAAATATGCGGAATAAATCTTCGATACAGTACCTCTTGAAACACTAAGCACCCACCATACGTGCTCCAACAATTTGCCCACGTTCGAAGTCTGTTAACTCTGACATAATGCAATGACATCCTCACATAACAGTACTCCGAGAACAACTGGACGAAGTTGTATAGGTGGCGTCAGTAGTGAAAAACGCCAGCGCCACCTACATATTTCATTAAAATCAATCTTTCTTTTCAAACATGCATTTCACAAGGTGTTTCCATATTTTTGTCCATCCACTGTACATAGATGTTCTTCGACCAAGCAACGAAGGTTACCATGTTGAAAATATGCCTATTGTGCATGCGTGAAGCAATTTCAATGCTAGGGCGAGACGCTACTAGACTATAGCAGTCAGTCGATGTGCTGGACTTAAGAATGCTGTTTCCCCGAGATTTACTTGTAACTTAAATGTGTAATAACGCCCTTAATTGTAATGTTTTATCTTAATTGCATTTTGTTAATTAAAACTATTTAAAAAGGCCAAGTGAGTCTTTGTTTATACTTTATTTTTCGAATGGCCGTTGGCATGTGTTTTAGATCTACTGGTAAAAACTTTAGTTGTTGCCTACCAACTCAAAAGTCAGTCACAAGTCACAAACTCAGTTTTGTGTCGAGTTTTGCAAAAACAATTTACAGCCCAATGTAATACAATATTGCTAAATTTTATTAGCTGATTAACTGATAGAGTCATATGATCATAGTTTTCAGACTGTATAAGTTATTTAATGTTCAATATATATAATAAAGACTTTTTATGGTACTTCTTATTTGAAATTTTTGCACTGAAATTACACTGTTGCTTTGTAATCTATAGTAATGTAGTAATCTATATTCTTTATTACTACTTTTCACTCATACTGGTTTGTTTTTCATGACATTGTCTATTTATTCATTAATAAAGGTTTTGATTTAAAGCACAATAGTTACTTATTTTTCCTGAAACATGGTTACTTTATTATTTCAAGATTTAAGTGCACAAACAGGAGTGCCAGAAAATGAAATTAAAAAATAAAATAGGGAGTAATATGTGTACGTTACACAAAGGAAAAGCATATTTTTTTAATTTTGCTGCAAACTAAATTTAGCGAAAAATCAAAATCACATGGTATCATTCGTAAATACTTTCTGAATTGTACTGTGTCTTCAATAGGCAACTCCCGAAGCAGGGTATTACGAAAGCACCATGAATTTCTCGTCGTTTGACCCAATTTCTGGTCCAAACGCATTTTCTTTTTTTTTCCCCCTGCTGTAGCAGTAGCTAAGTTCAAAATTGTAGCTGTATCTATAGTAGTAATTTGAAGTAAAATAATCATCCATTATTTTTTGACAACACCGTAAGCTTTGTTTACAAATCGTACACAGTGTGATGCTGTAGAGGGTGGGAACACTTCCTTTCAGAGTGATTGGCTGAGTGAATTCCTGTATTAATGAGAAAATTGTTCCACGAGGACAGGTGAGCTATCTCAGATATTGTCAGCCGAGGAAATCGCTATGTGTAGACGGGCTTAACACTACTTCGTTACTCCAACCACTGAATCAAAGTATTACTTTACCTTTAAACCATAATATATAAGAAGAGCATTACAGTGCATTTTAGAGGTAACCGATTCAAAATCAATCAAGGTAATGGAAGTTTGGAAGACATTTCAATCAAGTACTGTATCGACATCGTATCTTTGTCTCTGAAAGAACTAAAAGCATCAACGTTAAATGCATGTTAGAAGATATGTCCCTTTTTAGGAGCAATAGAAAACGTGTGTGAATCGTCAGAAAATGAAATTGTTAGCTTATTAAAACTTGTTAAATCAATTGGAGGCGAAGGATTTGTCGACATGGCTATTGAAGACGTTCAAGGTTTATTAGCGGAAGAAATTGACGAAGCAGATTGAACAGAAATGGCATCTGAAGCCGTAGATCAAATCGCTAGCACTAAAGACAGCGCAGTTAATAATTTAACATTAAAAAAATTAAAAGAAGGCCTAAGCTTAGCTGAAAATCTCAAATCATTTTTCTTGATTACAGACTTTTCTGCTGAAAATTCAAAAGGGAGCTGCAAAACTGTCTAGCTCCATAATCGAGAAATTTACACTGACCCAGTAAGCAAATAAAATTACATAATTTTTAAAGAGGGGAGAAAATGCCAGAACTTTAAATGAAGAAAGAAATTTTGAAAATGAAAGCCATCTCATTCCACCCAAAAAAATATTCTCAGTAATTATACTGAGCAGTGAAAACGAAAATTTTTTTAAACTAAAGTTGCGTTAAATTAAAATATGTAATATTTTTTGTTTTGCATTGTTTATGTAGAATTTAAAAAAAATTCTTTTTAGTAAGTTTTCAGAACATACCCCCTTTTTGTACTACCTCTTGGTCTCATACAACAGCATTTTCTAGGAACCTATCTACTGTCTTATACGAAGGCTACTTGTATTTTTAAGTTTAAAACGCTAAATTTGTATAAAATATGAAAGCTACTTTTTTATGCTTTCCCAGTTTCCTATATTTATATTAAAAAATATGCACTTGTTATTAAACTTAAAAATAATTTCAAGTGAAAGTTATACTAAAGTAAACCAACTACCACTTTTTTTTTTTTCCCATTGTTATGAATTGCTAGTAACATTAATACAAAAGGAAGCTTATTCCACTGAATAAATTCAGATCTTACACTCGCATATTACCAACTTTGCAATTAAAAATACTAAAGGAACAGCAGTCATTTTAATTTTAGAATTTGTTTTTTTATTTTGAAATACAATGTACAAAAGACTAAATGATCATTACACTCAATGCTTTATTTAAAGCACCATAATGGATTCATGCAAACATTTAGTGAAAAGCATTACTGTACACTTGCCAAAATATTAAGCTTTATTTTATATGATACAAGAAAACTAGTTTTTAACAAATACTGAAACTACTGCCCTATATTCTGGCTGTACTATCAAATAAATTATAACAATTTTGATGGGGTTTCTCAAAAAAGGAGGGGAGGTTAATCTTTGGAACATGGTAATGGATAATTTGGTGAGTTTTTGTGGTGATGAAGATTGCTCTCATAATATGCCAAAAATTAGAACAATTACACCACAATTTTAATTTTCCCAAAATTAAGCTTAGCAGTACAAATTGCTCAGCTGACAATGACAGGCCACCTGTTACAAAAAGATTAATTCGTAGTCAAATTTCATTTGCAGTAATATTTAAATTAATATTAAACTTGTAATTTTATATGCATATATATATTTAATCTTGCACAACAAATATGTATAAATATGCATAGATTACATATATATTTAGCAACTGGGCATTTTTTGAACATGCTTTTTCCTCCAAAGATTCACTGTAATTTCGATGTATTTTTGCACAAAATTCTCCCAACTGACGCTAAAGCTAGTTTATTTCAATGAAAATTTCAACTAACAGGGATTTTGAAACTTTTTAACACATATTTTCCATAACATTTCAAAGGTAGAGCCTTTTTGCCAAGATGAAAAAAAATACAAGAAAATTTAAAAATTATGGTGGAAAAGTAATGCAGTTTAAAATAAGAAAAGGATGGGGGGAAAAGGGCATAAAAAAAGAAAGAATGGGTAGGCACCGTGGGGTCACCAAATTACCGTATACCAAAGATTCACCAAAGGAAATTTCCTTTAAAAACAAAAAAATTTCAAAAATTTACACATCAAATGCTTTAATTACTTATTAAACATTGATTTAAAATACTCATATTTTGAACTAAAAGCAGTGGGAAAACATACTTGAATAAAACATTTTACCAGCTGATATTCAAACCTGATGCATTTAAAATGAAAAGAAAAGCAAAGAAAGGAGTCGCAAAAATACTTTATTTTGACAAATCAAAAAAACTGTAAATATATCTAAACATCGCAAATATGTGGAAGGGCTACTTAACTATGAACTAGTTTAAATAAAAATTCCTTTCAACAAAACTTTACAAACTTTAGAACAAAATTTTTCCAATATTTATATAGTTTAGGCCATATTACAATGGCAGTTACCTATACTAATATTTTAAATATAATTTAGACTACATCATCACTTGGTATCTCATAAAATGAAGAAATCTGTCCCCATCATCAATGAATCTTTACCCAAGTTTCATCCAATGATGGCACTTTTTTTAATAGGCAATTCATTACATTACAAATAGAATTTTATTTTAATAGGTAAGTCTTAAGAAAACTATTTTATAAAAAAACGCCTTAACTCTTGAAATCAGGAATTGCTAATTTATGGCTTACTAACTTAAAATTATAAAAAAGCCGAGATACTTAAAATAAACTTTTCAAAAAAAAAAAAAAAAAAAAAAAAAATTTATTCAAAGAAATCTTTGAAACATCAGATCTGGATTTAACATGTGAAGAAGAAAAGCTACAGCTATTATGAATGAAAGAGGCAAGTTTCAATATCATTCAATTTTATGTTCACTTTTCAAACATTGACCAAGAGTTAATACATTTAAAATCATTTTACAGATAGAGAATAAACATTATTGGAAATTTAAAACATTCAGTATGAAACCTTGTTTAACTATACCTTTTAAAAATTTAAGGCACAAAAGTTACTTGAAATGCACATTTTTAGTATATTTATAAACAAAAATACACCCATACAAATTTGTTCACCACAATATTCAAATTAACAACAACAAAAATACAACAAGTGCAGCACAGTTTAATTGACACAGTTAAGTTCACATAACCTTTTTTTTTTTTTTTTTCTGTTTCTGTTTCTTAACAATAAGTACTCTAAAAGAAATTTTTTTTTATTGCTATTAAAAAATCATACATCACTGCTAAAAATAAATAGGTACAATTGAAGAAATTCACAACAGGAAATACACATTACAATACCTTAAATGTAATTTAAATGAATTTTAATACATATCTTTACAAAAACTGAAATTTATGTATGACAAGTCTTCTTGTGTTAAGAGAAGCCTTACTGAATGGTTTTCAATCTCACAAAGGCATATCACAGAAATAACAAAAGGATATAACTATGGAATTGTAACTATCCAGTTTGAAAAATTAAACACATGTTGACCACTTGCTCGTATCTTGATGGCTTAAATAACAGCTGTGTAGTATCCAGAACATGTATGCCATGTGAGAAAAATCTATAAAACAGTATTAAAAAATTTTAAATTCAGAATTCTACATATAATACTTACAAAAATGCCAACAGAATATAGTAATGGCCAAAGTTATGCAATAGGTGGGACTGAAGTTAATGTCTAAATTTGCATATAATTAAATATGATTTTAGGAGCATAAATCAAGTGCCAGGGTAGGATAAAATTTTTTTAAATTTAGTGGTTCACCTAGCAGATATATTACAGATAACAAAATTTTTTGAATTTAGGAAAGGCACTTGGCGGCAGAATTTAAAGGTGGCAAAATTTATAGAAATTAGGGAAATACACAGCATCAAAATGTATACTGGCAGTACTGCCTCCAAACCACTAAATGATCAAAAATGTGATCGTAGCCAAAATTAATGCACTGGTGAAATAGAGAATTTTCATATTTGATCTATGTGATCGTAGCCAAAATTAATACACTGGTGAAATAAATTAAGAGAATTTTCTTATTTGATCTCCGATCTCCAGAACTACTGGACAGATTTTAATAAAATTTGGTGTGAACATAGGTTAATATAATACAAACAAATTAAACATTCAATAGTGATAATAGACACCTGTCGTGTGCAACACTGGGAGTTTTGAGGTCTGAAACAGGTTGCAGAAGACAAAAAAATGGGTTAAAAAGGGGATATGGTGCCCTCTTACAGCCATACAGGCCTCGCAGCATGATGTCATACTGGAAATAAGGCTGTTTAGCAGGGCCTGTGGCAACTGGTCCTACTCATTCAGCAATGCTGTTTTCAGTTCCTAGATGGCTGAAGGACAGCAGTCACAGAGCCTCTGTCAAAGACATGGATGAAGTGTGTGGACATCCAGCATGATGCTTGCCCAGACCATTACATTGCCCTCACCATAATTGTTGATTTTGTGGACATTAGAGGGTGGGTAGCACATCCCTGGCTCTCTCCATATGTACATACGGCGAGAATCGGTGTTTGGGCTAAAACGGGACTCGTCAGTGAACAGAACGTTCGCCTGTTGCTACATACTCTAATCACTATGCTGCATGCACCATGCTAATCGGACTCTCCTGTCCTTAGACGTGAGTGGGATGCAAATAGCCAGTCTTCTGGCAAACAAACCTCTTTCATTGCCTTTTTGAGACTGAGAAGCTGTAGCCCCTCTGTTATGCCTCGCTAAAATGGACAAACAGCGATCTTCTCTGGCCTTCACGGTTCTTGGACGACCTTGCCCAGGCTTTCTCTCGATGGATTCGGTATCCTGAAACTGTTTCCGTAGGTTACAAACGCGCTGGGCGTTAAACTCTTGCATAAGCGATGCCACTGGCCTGCCTCTACCTCCTCACATTTCGCCACCTCATCAATATCTTTAAACGTGGTGTACTCATTTTTATGTTCTGATTGAATTACCGATTGCCGATAACCAACATTTGCCGAGGTGTGCCACGAATGCATTGTCTACCCTTCACTCGCTATAAACATGTTTTTCTGCCACACTGTACATAATACGTATTTGCCGTACAAGATTTGCATTTTTTATCTAGAAGCAGTGGTTTTTCCTTCAGTTCTCTTTTCATGCAATTTGATATAAAATATGAAAATTCTCTTAATTTATTTCACCAGTGTACAATGTTATATTATTATTGAAGAACTCTCTAGCCAGCAGGCATTTTAAAGTGACATGCAGAAATATATATTCCTCGGTCCTAGACTTTTTGAGGAATTTTTTATTTATTGGCTAGTGATAAAAGGTTCAGATACTGGATGGTCAGATTTCAGACTTTGTCCTGTACCATCGAACAAGAAAAGAAATAAGCCCATATAAATTTAAACATAAAGGCAAATTATATAAAATAATATATTCACTCGCCCATTTCCCTCTAATTTTGCTCCTCGAAAATTAAAAAGTGGAAAAATTATGCAGCATATACTAATTCTGAAGAAAAAATGATTGACAAAATTTACATTTTTTTTGACAAAATTTACATTTTTTATCCCCTCATCGACAATTTTATCAAACCTTGAAAATATGCCAAATAAAAATTAACTATATTTAAAAGCAAAATTTTGAAGAAAAGACATTGAAAAGTGGCATAGAGATGCAAACAGGTAGCAGCCACTTAACACTTTACTAAATTTGGCCACTTAACAGAAGAAACGTCAGAAAAAAGGTTGCTACGTGACTGGGCTTTTATTGCAGTAGTTTGAAATACATATGCTCAGAACAATATAAGAAATGCCAGAATAGTCACTTTTGATGAGCCAAGTTTTTAAATTCAGGCTGATGTTGAAAATTAATGAAAGAAAACAACTTTATAATTAAAGGGTTACTATGTGTGGGTTATATATTTTCACACTTCTCAACCCTGAATTATGAAAACCTAGAAGATTCTAGAATGAAAACCAGGAATTTCGAGAAAGTTTTAACACTGCATAGTGACACAATTTTAAAAGAACTCCAAACTGATTTAAACATTTTAAAATGCATATTCAAGTGACTGATATATTTTTTATATTATAAATAATATTCTAAATAATTAAATAGATATTCAAAGTTTTACATTCTTTGGCTGCCAGAGTTTGGGAATATTCTTAAAATTTGGGAACTTCTACTAAAGTAAATGCGGTAAGAGAAAAATGCAAGTGAAGTATAGTACGATAGAAGAGAAAGGTATTGACAAGTTTTCCATTAAACTGGTAATTTTTACAACTGTGGGGGGAGAATATTTTTAGGGCGGGGACTCGTGTTTTAAAAGTGTTAGTATTGTTTAACACGTTGACTGCCTTGCGCACTTTATGTGGTTTGCTCATGACACCAACATTAATTTTTTATTATTCTATGAAATATTATCTACAGAAGATAGGGTGAGTTATGTAATCATGTTTAATGCATTTTTTGTGGTGTGGGTCACTGCTCACCCCCGAGAAGCTGCAGACCATTTATTTATTACTCTTCAAAACGTTATAGTAACAATGGTCATTATCTAAAAATTTATCTGTATCGATATTTACTCTAATTATAAATTTTTAATGTTGGCCCCCACGGCGCCGTAGCAAAGTCGAGTGCTGGCCACCCCGGTGAACCCCACGGTAGTCAACATGTTAATATAGTGCCCTTCGCTCATCCCCCCTCGTCTGTTCTATTTACAGCACCTAATTTGCATTATTTAAATAATTAAATATTTGTGTTGTTTTATTTCGAACAAGTGCCGTCATCTCTCATATTTATAACAATCACCAAGTATGATGTACTTTTATATATGATTTATCAGTTGGATAAAACTGTAGATAACATTTAGATAGATCTGCTATTAAATGGATTAATTGCACAAATGAGATTTTTCTTAATGTCCATTTTTGTTGGCACACATTGTTTAAAAATGCTAAGGCATTTCTTATAATTATTAAGAGTTTTTGGCATATCAATATGATCATATTTTTGATGAAACTTTGCACAGAATTAATATAAGAATTCACTTTAACTTCCCTTTTTTATTTTTTACTTAGTCTTAAATTTATTTATGCGCCAGTTAAGATTCTCACAAAACATGACACTCCTTCCCCCCCTAAAAAAATTGTTTTATTAAATCTCATAATAGAAGGACCTAAAATTTCATCCACAGTTTTGTGTATCTTAAGGAATGCACAAAAAGTATTTAGAATAAAAATATCAAAATTTTTAAATGCAGGATTTTCAAAATGAAATTTTAATTTTCCATTTTAAATAAGCTGTTTATTACTCCCTATTCTGTTTGTAATTCTTTGTTAAATATTAAATTAAAAATTTATAGCATATTTACTATAAATCTGAAAAATAAAAAGTTGCAATAGTGTTATTTTATCTCCAAAAAAGTATATCTTACAAAACAATAATTATAATATATGTGATTACTTACTTATAAAAAAAAATTAAAACAGCTGTGAACTTCGAAAATGACAAAATTTTAAGCAATTGTCTGCTCGTGACTCTGTGTTTCCGGAGGCTTCATTACATCTGGTAACTCCGGTGGGCTCGACAAAGGCGTTATTTCTAGAAGTTCAAAGCCAAGAGTTTCTAAAATGGAAAAAAAAAAAAAAAGGATTAATAGAGCATAGTATGCTATCGGTATATCAATACTTAATATAATGCTAAAAATAATTTAAAGAATTGTAAAAGTAGTAACAATTTTTTCAACACAGCTTCAACTTGCATTTTTACACAAACTTCTCATTAAGCACATTATATTGACATAATGCAGTATCACCTTGATGTATTATGGTTAGCATAACTACCAACTCTCCACATCATGTCACTCTATTAAAACAACAAATTAGACACAATATGCTTGCAAGCCAGAATTTACCAGTCTAAAATCGACCCTCTCCCAGTGATGGGTGTTCTCATAACCTGGTGTCGATGATCCATCTCCAGTGAGCCGTGATAAAAACCAAAGAGAATGATAACATTACCACAATAGACCATGAAAAGCAGCAGTAAATAGAAATGACACATACTTTTACTACATTAACAGGGTGTCTCAAAAGGTCATTGCCAAAATTTATATGCTAGTGTGTAATAAATACCATTACAATCAAGATTTACATAGGAAATGTTTGAAAATGTGAACGGCAAATGCTAAAGGGAAATGTTCACAAGCACAGAGGAGGGGAAATGATGTCAAAAGAGGTGTTAAGTGGCTTTTATTAAAGAACACGGTTAAATCACAGAAGATATTCAAAATTCCTTCCATTCACCACAATGCATGCTTCACAACATCGATGCATGAATACACGCACCTGTCCAAAATGCACAGGTGCATTGTGGACACATACCACCATTTCCACAATCCTGGCAATGAGATCCATGTCCAGTAGAAATTCAGGGGATAGTGGTAGCTACGCGACTAGTCTACTTTTGCCATTCCAGGGATGCACTATCGAGGTATTCTCGCACAGTGCTGCTAAAATATGCAGGCATTCCATTATGCTATGCTAAAAACAGATATTTGCTAGAATTTAGCATAGCATAATGGAGTTCTAGCTGCTAGAATGTCAATCATAAGACCCGGTAACACGTTTTCTAAAAAAAGTGCCATAGGTCTTGTTTTTGAGGTAAGGGCCAGTTAACATGTCACTGATAATACCAGGCAAAATGTTTGTGGTGCAATATTGTTGACTTCCATGGGTACATGTACACACTAGGGTGCTCATGTGAACACACATGTATGTTCTGCAGGCTCAAAACAATGTCTCATGCAAAAGATGCTTAACCGGAAAACAAAATAAACGATGGGAAATCTGGTTGTATGACCCAATTGTGCAAATACCAGCGTGCAAATGCAGCATCATTGCACAATGCCTGTACCCCATCTATGTCCAAATGGACATAGATGGAATGTAAAGCATCCTCATGCAGTACGTGCATAACAGTGGAATGACATTCAAACAAAACCTGTTTGGCAGCTGGGAGACTTGCTTAAGGGTTCGCCTCAAAAGTCCCATAGCACAGCTTCTTCTACAACAGGTGTGTTCTCAAATGATGTGGCTACTTACTTGGAAAGTTTTTGCTTCATACAAGCTGCAATGCCAATATCCAACTAAAGCACGACTTGGCTGTTGGGAATCCGTACATACATATTGCAGCTTGTCCATTTCCACCTGAAGCACCATATATGTATTGTATATTGGCCAACTCTGAGTTAGTAAACCAATTTATCCTTCTCCTGCAATGTCCCTGCCTGATAGGAGCATGCTTCCCACTCCCCATAAGCCAGCAAACACTGCCCTCTAGCCCTTTGCATTTTTGGAACCAAGTTCCTACGTAAATCTTGTTTGCCATGGTATGACAGACAGCACATTGAGTTTGGCAACGACCTTTTCAGACACCCTGTATATTACTTTAAATGCAAAAAGCCATCCTATTTGGCATCTGTGAACTGAAGCAATCAACAGTCACCATTTTACTACTGTAATCAGATACAAAACAACACGGAAAACTATTCTTATGTTTCATTAGCACAAACACTGTCCTGGTTCTTTAAACATGGCACAGCTGCCAAACTTGAAATCTGAAACACTAAGAGAATTTTTGTGTGAAAACTGGCATGTTTTCTTGCAGTACAGCAAAGCCACTTCAAAAGAACTACAAACGGGTTTAAATTTACTTTATAATGCATAATTCAAGTTACTGAGCTACTTATAATAATGTAAAATATATTAGTATTTAATTAAATATTGTAAAATTTATGATCTTTGGCTAATTTTATTTTTTCTTACACTTTCATATTCAGAAAATTTGAATAGGGAAGAAAAGCTATTATTTACTGAAGTACTTTTATATAGAGTAGAGCTCCGAAAACTAAGTGGACCAAAGAGTGGCTGGGTTTGTGAAAATGCCAGGTTATTAGAAAAGGTTTAAAAAAAAAAATAAGCATGAGTGTTTCCTTAGAAAATACAGTACTTGTATGCATTGGTTGCTTGAGAATACAATAGTTTAAAAAAGATGCATTACTGTAACTCAAACTTAAACTCGGCAAATATCCTTAAACAAAGGAAAAGTAAATATTAACGCATAGAGCCTTTACTAATGAAAATTGATGAATACACATGTACAGTTATTTTACCTAATAAGACAGACATCAGAAAAATACTTTATGAATGCATAAAGCTGTCTATAGTAAAAATTAACTAGCAGACTTTGCAAAAACTAGCTACTTTTTTTTAAAGAAATGCACTGTTTTCCGCACTGCACTTCGTGTTTTGTTGCTTCATCACAAAGACAACGAAGGAATAGTAATACTATTTACCAACGCAACTAGTTGTTCAACATCCTGAAGGGTGGTTTCGACAGCTTTCAATCCTACACTACGATATTTTAGGGGCTTGTATGAACGAATCATCAATATCATTTTTTTGCATTTCTTCATTAAATGTGATATTAGCAATAATTTCTGCATCGGGCATACGTCTTGCTTGGTACCATTCTAGAACCACTGTTCGACGTCACTTTCATTGGCTTCTGCACACCCAGAAACTCTCTTCAGGAGGTCAAGTAAGTTTACATTTCCTGCATCATCATGTTCAATGAACACATTTCTCCCTTGATCAAGGCATCAGGAATGAACTAGTGTAAATGACTCATTCTAGGTATTGGCCACCCATCCAACGATATCCAATACGTTAATTTTCTTTACATTCTGGATAAGACCTTGACCATCATCGTTTGCAGAAAGATGAGAGGATAGTGTCTATATCTTGTGTAGCTTATATCTATATCTTCTCTTGAGACTAACCAAAACGCCTTGGTTCATTGGCTGGCATAACACTGTGATACTGGATGGTAAAAAACATTGCTCATATGTCCCCATTTTAAATCTTTAATGGATGCGATGACGTGTTGTCCAAAATCAGAATAGCCTCCCTTGGCAAGTTTTTAGATTTTAAAAACCGCTCAACCGATGGAACAAATACTTCAAGGAACCACTGTTTGAAAATTGCACAGCTCAACCATGCATTTGACAGGTTTAGGTACAGAAAATTTATCCATTTCGATGTGCTTGAACGCACGTGGTTTCTTTGATTTTCTTAAAACACCAAATTTTAATTTGTGGTCATCTGTTGCATTACTGCATTCTAAGATTGTTACCCTCTCCCTGCTCCTTTTAAAATCTGGGGCTGACTATTCTTCCTTGAAAAGAAGACTTTGTCGATACTGTACAATGCTCTGCAGTCAAACCTCGTAGATAAATTTCTGAAAGATTTCCTTACACTGATACGCTCCATTGTCCCCAGATAGTTTTCATCCACAAATATTAAGCTGTCACACTCCATATCGTTTCTTCCAACGATCACAGCAGCCAGTGATTGCGAAAAATTTAGGATTGTTGTCTTTTTTTTAAATTTTTCATAAAACTGCATTAATCAGCAAACTAACTGGGATGCCCTTTTCTCTTGCTTGGTGAAACCAAATGTAAAGTGATTCACTTCCCTCATTAAGCTCACTTCCCTCTATATATTTCCTTTCAATGTTTCTGTGCACGTTCTCTTAACACACCACGACTTGATTTCTGTCCGATTCTTCTTTCAGTTTCCAATCATATTTTTGTTGACTCAGAAGTCCTTAGCCACTGCACCGACACTAAAACCTAACTTTGAAATAGCTCTGAACAATATAATACAGTTACTCACATCGAGGTATGCAATGCAGTTAAGAAATCGGCTAACCCTGGCAAAGACCGCAGGTAGACTGAACCAAATGACCATGTGTTGATGCCAGTCACATAGTGGAGGAGTGAGAGTGTGACAAGAGACAGAGAAATGTGGGAAGAGGGGGGCGTCCTCAGTCAATGACCTTAAACAAGTCTGTGCATGTTTTTTTTTTCACCCTGCCAGGGTATGGCCGAGCTATCCGGATTGCCAGGCTATCGAGTACCGAGTTTTTGAAACTCTACTGTATGATAAAAATAAAATTCATAACAAGTGTAGATAATATTTACCTGGATAAACTTGATAAATACTGAAGCAAAATACAAATATTAATTAAACATTGAATCTTCATATAAAAATCTACAAATGTCTGCAGTAAGACAAACTTCGATAAGATTAAGAATACTTCAATAAAGAATCGGCTGCTCTGACTTTTTTTCCAGAAATTTATTCCCACTGTTGAAAGCTTTAGCTAGGTTTATATATGATTACAACAAAGCACACTAGGCCTATCTACTTAAAGCAAAGGTGCCTTCTAAGGAAAACTGGCTGATATCCATGTTACACACGGAAAACTTAAAAACACATATAGCAGCCGACCTGTTTGCCTAGAATCGAACCCAGGTCAAATTCAATGTTCAAGGAACACTGTCACTCTCACAATTCAGCAATAAATATTACTGAATAAGCTTTGAACACAAAACTACTGTATTGCAGATTACTCAGTTATAATAATACAATATAATTTAGAAGCTCTTATCTTGATGGCAGTATTCAAAATTAGCAAATCTGACAGATCTCACTTATTTCTCTCATAAGGGGGCAGAATTCTGGCGAGTCACTCTGATATTGGCAAGGTTAGATCACACAATTCGTTCTGATAACTAAAGGGAAATACAAGATAGGAGATCTGTTGCAGGAATACCATTGATTGCACTTAATAGGTAACTATTTATAGTTGTAAATAATAAATTGTATGCTTATAAACAGTAATGAACATAATTGTTAATGTTTATAAACATAATTTGCACTTAACAGGTAACTATTTATAGTTGTCAACATATTGTATACTTATAAAAAAAATCTTTATCGAGCAGTACTCTTACCAAATCTTCACTTATCAAAACTTTAATAACCAATAAATCTATCTCAGGCCCACCAGCAGCCAAGTGGTAAAGAAGCTGAACACTGGTAGTTCAGTCCGAATCCCGTGAACAGGCTTTCCCCATGTGTAACATGTATACGAGCCAGTTTCCCTTATAAAGTCCTCCAAAAAAGCATCCCTCCCTTTAGGCAGATAGCCCTCGTGTGCTTTAACATAATTAAATAATCCAATAAATCTATCTCAATTCTAATATTTTATCTAAAAAAATATGTGAATTTTTTTTTTTTTTTTTTTTTAATCCTCTGACCACTGAAGAAGACTCAGATTTACTTGAAAATATGGCTGCTAGCTCTTTTTTTCCTATCACTTAATTACTATCCCACAACAAACTGCTGTATTCATCAAATGTCCGATTGCTTAATATAACTGAAATGGATACGTCAAGGCAAAAAAGGACTTTGTTTATGCTGAAACTGTCCTCTGAATGTTCCTACATGACCACAGGCATATGTACAAATTGATACAATTGAACAAGAAATTTAACTCTGCATGTAAAAATTAGATACAAACTAGTAAAGATAGATAAAATTAAGAAAGTAATAAATTAGATATTTGTCTACAGAAAATTCAGCAGCACTTCCATAGCTAATTTCAAAATAACTATGAAAACAAATAAATATTACAAAAGAATTTAATGCAATCACTTAGAAAATGAAGCTGTCCTCATTAGAAGAAACTGACATAAGCATTTTCACAGTGAAAATTACATATGCAAAGTCCTTTTTATTACTGTTTTTGGTATGTAATCGGTGGGGAAAAATCTAATTATATTTACTCAAGCTTGTAATAACTTATGTTATATTAAGTTAAATAAAGTCATACATTACATTTACATAACATCAGATAAATACCTAGCTATCACAAGAACACAACACTTAAAATACTCATGTATTTTTGCATGTTTTAAGACTGACAAGAAATGAACAGTTACTGATCTATGCACGTGTAAAGAACAAAGAGGTAACATTTCGTTCTTTCTAATATTACTGTGCCAATATAACAGTTTAAAATACACATTAAGCTATTTTTTATCTTCTATCAACGAAAAAAGGATCCATAGTTTATATTTAAGGTCAAAGTTCAGCCACTGCTGAGATATCTAAAAACTGGTTCCCTGTTGTTATATTTAATGAACTGATTACATAATTGCATTAAATAAGATAATGTATAAGTTCTGTTAAATTGTGCTATTTTTGCTGATGGTATTGTATTAAACACTATGATAACTAAAAATTTATATTCAACTGCTCCTCTCTATATATCTATCTATTAAATACCTTGTTTTGCACAGATATTGAATGCGTTGCTAATTTGTCATTTACCAAAGTCAGTTTTGTTTCCATACGACTTTATCAACAAATCATTTTCCTAAACCCAAATTGCACAAACACCCTTATAAAAGCAAAATTTAAAAGAACTAAAAGAGAAACACTTACCATTGTCTTTATATGCCAATCCTACTTGAGCTGGTGCCTGGGCTTTTGCTGTGGAACAGTTTAATCCATAATCTCCTAACACCTTATTAGGTTCCATCACCTGTTAAAAAGTATAAATTTGTTAGATGTTAAAAATCAAATGCATGAAATATGCCAAATAATGAAAAATTCCATGCTAATTAGGTGGCAGATAATAAAAAAATAGCTCTGTGAAACAATATTCTCAGATACTAAAAATGTTGAATTCGAAGAAATTTTGCAACATTTCCATTTCAGACAACCAAAGTTTTTATGACTCTTATTCATGCCTTGTTTATCATTATTGGCCAAAAAATTTTTATAGTTGGTAACACTGCCAAAAACAGTCAACAAAAAGTTCTCAAGAATATTATAGAATAAAGTATTACATCATGACATAAAACATAAGTATTATATATATAGTCAAAAGTCGTTAATCCGGACTCGTCGGGACTTTGGCGATTCCGGATTATAGATCATCAGTTTAAATCTGGTAAGATAGCATGCAGAAATTATAAAATTAAAAATATGAAACCGTAATTTATGAAATAAAGAACAATTATGATCTAAAGGGTATCAAAATTTACAAAAAAAAAAAGGCTTAATATTTATTTGTGTACTTTATTAAACATTTCTTTCAACGTAAGTTGTTTAAATTGCTTCGTTTTATGTGATAATACTTTCTCCTTAATTCTATAAACAGACATAATTTCTTGTTCAGTTACAAAGTTCCACTGTTCAAGTCCTATAATTGCTGTGTCGAAAATACAGACTAATTTGTCAATCGAAATTTTTTCGTTTTCAATAACCTCTGTGTCACTTTCTTCACTATCGGAAGCGAATTATAATGACGAGGAATTTGATTTAAATCATATCAAAGACGGAGTACATCAAGATGAAATACTACATTTAGTAAGAAATTATAAGCCAAATAATAATAAAAAAAAAAATCTGCCCTGAAGATAAGGATAGTGCTGACGAATCAACTTCCATCTCACTACGCGCCGCAGCGTTCCATCATTCCGGATTATGGGTGTCCGAATTAACGACTTTTGACTGTATATTCTTCATACAGCAATACAGAATACATTGTTTACTCAATTTCAGAAAATAAAAAGATAAACACATTAAGGGAAAGATTTCTTGGAATAGAAAAACTCAAATATATATGCTTAATGATTAGAAATTAACCACTTTTTTAAATAAATGATTAGAAATTAAATTTTATCATTAATTAATTAATGATTAGAAATTCATTACAAATTTCCTGTAAAACACATGTATTATGTTTTAATACCATGAACACAATTTTAATATTTTTAAGAAATTGTAGGTGTATAAATCTTGTTTCAAATTCTTCTAAACCTTTCGAGTTGCAAGGACCAAAATTTGAAACAAAAATTACTACTGCCAAATCTGTACTAGTAAAATATGGCAGCAGAAAAAAAAATGCATTATGTTAATGTTATTTCTTAAATACAATTTTAGCAGATTGTCATTTTTAATGATATTTATCAACGCTATGTTTGCAAACAGCAAATTTCCATATCTGCAAGTAAAAAATTTTAAATACAAATTTATATTAAAATTGCAAAAACGATGATAAGTTGCCAAATTCAGCTCTGCGAAACAAGACTATTTCTGGGCCTATAAGACAAACTTTTACTCCATAATGTGCCCTAAAATCAGTTTGCCTGAGGATTAACTTCCATCTTTTAAATATGTAAGATGATTCACCAATAAAAATATTCCACATCAGGCATAAAAATTGATTTCATTTATTACAAATGTTGATAATAACACTGCTTTGAGCCAGTAGAAAGCAAAAGTTTTAATATTGCATACGTATACAATGTAGCATTATGTATATGTTACCAGAAGACCAAAATCTGGGAAAGTCAACATTCACAGAGTCACCTGGTCTAAAATATCTACTAAATATCTTTATTTATCACTTACGCTAACAAATATTGATATTCACTATGCACTGATGGTGAATATTGAATAAAAATATTTTTCTACATTTTTAAGTCATACTTTTATTAAAATATTATCAAATATGAGAAAGCTTATACAACAGCATATGTAAATAAACAAACTTAAAATTAACAGTACAACATTCTAAACAGGGTTCGTACACATTTCTGCACACGGAAATTAAGTACTTTTAAGGACCATTAATGAAAAAATTAACGCCCTATGAGCAAATGGCAACTGAATAAATTCAATTAAAAATATTATTCTTATGTCTGAATTTTACTTTTGTAACACCATCCTAAAAATAAAATAGATCCCTGAGTAGTATGCATTATTACTAAACATCAATTAACATAATTATTAATAAGTTTGAGAATAAAATAAAACTTATACAATTTATCAAGTAGCATTAAATATTTTACACTTATAATAGTTGGACATATTTGAAAGAAGATAAGTGACATTTACTTATGTTTTACTAATGCTTCATGTTGATTTTTTTATGTCTCATTTTGTCACATACTTAGTCTAGAGCAGGGGTTGCCAAACTTTTTTGATCATCGCCCCCTATATAATTTTTCGAAATCTCCATAGACCCCCCACAAAAGTAATTTTCAGGTAATTAAAAAATAAAACTATATATTAGTCTAAATATTTAATAAATCAGAAACAGTAAGTAAAGTAGCTACAGATTTTTTACTTCTTAATGAGATGAGTGTGCCTGGTGTTTCTTGGCAAGGTTCGCTATATTGGGTTCGAAATTAGTCAATTTTAACCGTACAATTCCCTCAATTTTAAGCTCCACATTTAATGTATTTTATTTCTGTTTTTAGTTAAAATTGAATTAACGTGACTGAAACTGGCTCCAACCATATACGAACTTGGAAACGCCAGCATAAATGGCTGAGCTATTTCGTAAAGTTTCACATATTTTTGCTTATATTTATATTAGTCCAAAATTTATGTATTGTCAAACTTTTAATAAGCGTTTTTGCTTCAAGATCGGACAATATTAATATTAAGTCAATTATAAAAGTATTTTAAATTTTTATGTACGCAGTTAGATATGTGTGATTTGCGTATTAAGAACTGTTTTTCCTTAGAGTCCCAATAGACCTCCATTCGACCCCTTGGGTCAGATAGACCCCTACTGTTGTTAAATAGACCTCTAGGAGTCTATATAGACCACTTTGGCGACCCCTGGTCTAGAGGTTTAGTAGCGGCAGGTAGATTTTATGTCAAAGGGCATATTTTAAAATGAGAAGTAAGATCATAATCAGCATGATTCATAACAAAAGACTGAATGTTGTCACCGCTGTTGCTTGTCTAGAGAGAGACCTGCTCATTAGAACAAACCTGAAAGGCCTGATGTAGAAAGCAAGTGTTGAAAGTTAGTCAGGCTCTGTTTGATGCAGTTAATGTCATAGCTTTGTGCAGTGTTCCAAGGGATTGTAGCCCAGTTAATATACTATAATGTTCCAATAAGCGATTAAAGTACCAGAGGTAAGTTGTTTTGTATTATTTTTGAGTTTCACTAGATGCAAAGAATAAGTTTTACTTGAATTTTTAAATTTTTGTTTTATTTTGTGACCACAGTAAGTGTTAATGAAAGGCAATAACTCGCTTTAATATGTATAAAGAATTAGTTATAAATAATTAAAAATTAGGTAATTAGATAACCTCAGTCATTATGGATTTACATGACCACTATTAAATTTTATTTTTTAACAATATTTGTTAAAAAAGCCTATTAAAATCAAAATCTAATAAAATTTCACAGTTTAAAATACATATAATTTGTGATGTTGATTCTAAAATGATATTTAGATAAACACTCAACAAAATATTTATAATTTCATTTTAACTTGAAGCCTTTCCAAACATTTTGACTAGTTTATATCGATTTCCTTCTCTTTATGCATCTTTTCTAACAATTAGAGATTTGTCTCAATATGCAAACGAATGCTCTCGCTAGTTTCTGCATGCTTATCTCTTAAATTGTAAACCTCTCCACAAAGTACCTATAAGGGTTTACTTGATCTGGTATAAAAGTTAAATAGATGAACTGATTGTGTGTATAAAGCTGCTTGGGAGTACCATTTTTGTTTGCTAATTTATAACAGTCAGTCTTCTAATCCAATAATAGCCGCCAGCAAATTTCGGGCATCTGTATGACCAAAGTTGACATCAGGGATTTATATGAACAGTATCAGCGATTTGAACAAGAGGAAATTTTCATTTTGAGGTTTGCATCACTGTCATGACTTGCAACTGAAGATTCTCTTTCACAGCCACTTTTTTAAAGAAATAAAGACATGTTTGCTCAGTCATGACTTGATATGAAAATGTGGTAAGCTGCAGCATTTCTTCAATATCTTCCTTAGGAATACGGTTTTTGGTAGTATGGCCACTGCTCAGACTTTCTTCAAATATTCACTTTCTTTAATCTGTTCTTCAGTTTCTACACTGAGATTGGTTCCCCAGGCAAAGATGACAATGTTACGCCTTTTTCTGGTTTAATGCCAAACATGGCTTCATAAGGAACTTTGCATATTCCTTCATGGTATGCAGTGTTCTTGGCAAACCATCTGACTATCTATCTATTTGTATTGCTATCATTTATCCATGCAATTTACATATTCTATATTGTTAGTTCTACAGATTTGTGGATTTGGAGCGACTGATGACGACACTTGAAAAAGAATGAAAACGCAGCCATTACACAGAGGAGTTCCAAAGACATGTTTACAGTTGTCAAAAAAACTACGAAAAACATGCTGAAACAAATCAGGAACACAGCCTTGAGGATATAATGGTGAAGGCAAGCTACACAGCAAAGCACTAAAGTACAGCTCCCATCTTTGTCTGGTCGTTCTCGAAGCTCAAGACACTACTACTAAACTTAACGTATTCTGGATACTTTCCATGATACAACTCAAGATACACTGGTAATAAACTCATGATAAACTGCTACTCTGCATATGGGCAGGGTTTATATAGCTTTTGACCTGCCTTCGAGAACATTCTGGGGTAAGACAGTAAGACTTCATTCTAGAAGGTTCTCGCTTTGTCTATGGTAAATCGCCAAATGGGCGATTCCATGACAAGTATGGCAACCCTGCTTCTCCTTGCTATTTTCAAGCAATTTGGGGGGAAGCTATCTTACCAAAGCTGGGCATTTCGTAACACTGCCCCTTCCCAAGGATTGTACTTGGTCAGCAACCAAATTTTATATAAACAAAAAGATAAAACAAATAAGATAAATAAATAATACAAAAATTAATCAAATAACAATTTTAAATTTTACAAAATTAAGAATGAATTTTAGTGTCAGGCTTTTCATTACGCTATACCAGAGTTAAATAGCTTTTCAATGCAGTTCTCAGATGCATTTCTGTTTTGCATATCATAGCTTGAAGATTCAGTGCTTTCAGATTTTTCACCCACAGGAAGATCTGAAACAGTTTGTTCACCACTCTAGTTTATTCACACCATGCACACAGTTCACCTTGGTATTTTTAGCAGTTGATGTATGATTATTTTCCTTTATTTTTGGGAACCAGTTCCAAATTTTGCAATAGAGTTATGAATAGAATCCAATTGTTTACAAACATAACTATCCTGATTTAAAATTCAGTCCATGTCTGCACAACCTGCACTATGAGACACACACCCAGTTTGTGAAATAGGTGTATTTTCTTGCAATACTGACACACTCTGCTTAAGCTGTACATCAGCTTCTCCCATCTCTGGTTCATATGCATTTTCAGATGGTTCAATACTTGCTGACTGCGACTTTAACTCCACTACCAGTTTCTACCAACTTAACAGTCACATTTTCACTTTCTTCCACTTCTACTTCAGGCACTTGAAAATCAAAAGCTTCTGTCCTGTCTTCTATTTCTTCATGTTTTTGTTTTTTTCCTTTAATCCATGTTAGATGTTTTATCCATCATTTCCTGATCTTTCTCAGATACTTCACCAGCTACTTCATACATTTCTTCATCCTTTGATTCTTTAGATACCACTTCTGTCATTTTGACATCTTTTATGGCTCCAGTTTCTTCTGTAAGCTCCATTTTCATCTGTTGGAGTGGCTCTAGCAGCATCTCTTGACCAGCTTTTATTTCTCTCAACTAACTTTTCTTGTCCAATTGTCATCTCTTCCAGTCCAGCAACAGCTGCTAGGAAGTTCATCAACTTCATTTCCTTTGCGATGGCTTTTTTCTGTAGAGGTCACCGGCATTCATGCACACACCCCATTCTTGGCACCAGCTGTTGCGTTTCATGGGTTCATGGATTTGGAGTGATCGATGACAAAATTTGACAAAGAATCAAAACACAATTTATTAACCAGTGTTACACAGGAGAGTTCCAAAGACATGTTTACAGCTGCCAGAAAACTACAATAAACAAGCTGAAACAATTAGTAAACCAGCCTTCAGGTTATCACAGTGAAGACTCTCCACATTCGCATTGTGACGTCTTTAATGTTACAATATACAAAAGATACTACAATTTACATATATACAAAATTTGTAATAATACAATTAAATACAAGCATATTTCAGTAATCAATGTAGAGAATCCAAGCATGGCCTACAGATAACAATTATAATTGCGAGTTATGCAGTTTATGCACATCATAATTGCTTGTGTAGTTTATTTAGTATTTTTAATTTTTTTAAATTTTTTATATGATCATAATGAAACATCTTCCTCTCATTCTGCTATTTTATTTACCCAAATGTAAGACTATCGAGTTTTAAGAGAAAAATATGGGCAAAAGTCATACCTTTTTAGTACAGTAATTATGATCAATTAATAAACGAAAACACTAAAAACCAATGGAAAGCATCAAACTATACGAAAATGAGAGCTTGCATATTGTCACCAAATCGATGATATTTTACAGAAGGCAAAAAACAATTACTACAGACTACAGTTGCAAAGAATTATTTATTACATACACTTTATCCAGAAAATCAATCACTAAACTTAACTTACACATATTATTAGCTCCCATAAAAACAAAGAAAGGAGGTATGCTTTCAGTGAACAAGCATAAATTAAGAGTCCCCACATGATTTTACTATTTTTACAATTATGTCTGTCTGTATGCAGGTGTGATGATTTTTTCATCCATAACAACATTCGTAGGAAACTTCTAAACTTTTTCTATTTTCCGTATTATTTGGATTCTAGGGTAAAGCGAAAAACTGGAAGCGATTTTCCTTGAAGCTCATAATAATTTTTAATGAAAAACTATAAAATATAATCCAAAACTTTTTAATTTTAGCATTTAAGACACATTTATGGGAATGAAATATTAGATGTGGGCTAAAATGAATAAATAGGACGTGATTTGAGAAGCTCTTGAAGCTCTGAGACTTTTGTAAAAAAAATTACAAGGTAATCCAAAACTTCTCAAATATAATTTTTAAAAATGTATATAATTGTTACCAACCTATTACATTTATAAGCATTAAAAGAATTCTGAAATTATGCTAAATGCTATGAAAATAAGCACATTTTGAAGGCAATCTCTCATTGGAGCAGTTTAATGTGTAGCCCTAATTCTCAACGTTTAAATCACTTTTGAAATTAAAAAATATACTGCCACCAAATGTTATTGCTATGTGTTATTTTTAAAGAAATAATATAATTAATGTACCAAATGTATAAATGTATGACAATATTTGACACTTATTAGGAATTTTAAATATGCTGTTTTTAAAAATTTTGCTGCTATTAAGTCTGTGAATCCAAAACACTCTTGTGTTATGATCACATATATTCAAAGGGAGTAGTGCAGATAACATGAAATTACCATTTTCTTTCAGATCTGCCATCGTATCTAAAATCAGATTTAATCACTTCTGAATGATAAGTATGAATAAAAGTAAAATACCTGATCATCTTTGTACAGCATCTGATCATCAGGAGGAACTTTTGTAATGCCCTCCACCATCTTCTTCAACTCTTGAACTGTAGTGGTTTCTTTTGCATCCAAGAAAATTGTAGTTTTCTTACGCCTAACCATTAAAAACACGTCCTAAATTAAAAAATAATAATAATATTTAGATTCATTGGAAAAAGTTATTGAACCTGAACTTTTACAAATTCAATAAGTTTCAATTTAACCGATTCAATACAATTTTGAAAGTTCAAATTTGAAGTTCCAGAACAATCAAATTAATACAGAGAACTAATATTGTGATCATGAGACGGCCAGCATAAAACAAATTTGTTATTTTACATAGGTGAATTGAATTTTTTTTCTTAACTAGCAGAGCTTAGGTTACTGGAATACATTAAAGCGTATGAGGGATATGTGCCTAAAATCTGCCACATAAGGGCATGCCTTCATTGAAGTCTTCCTAAAGAAAACTGGCTCATAGATATGCGACACACACACACACACACACACACACACACACAAAAAAGGCAATCATACAGCTGGCCAATTTAACTGGTTTCAAACATGGAACAAACTGCTAATATTCAGCAGTCTTAATCACTCAGCAATCGTTGCTGCCCTTCACTGATAAGTACTGATTATAATTACAATACCAAGATCAATGCAAATAATTAAGAATACATATTAAGGTTGTTAAATTATTACATATGATATAAGCGCACGAAAATCACACAAAATATTCTCAATATCAGGGTCAAAGAAGTTGAAATTACATCCCCAGATAGAGACTGTAACAAAGAGGATGAATGTGACCATCTGGTACCCCTTGGACTACTTAAATCCCAATTTAGATCAGGATTTGCTACTTTTTTAGTGATATACAATTAGTTTAGATGATCATGCTTTGGCATTATTACAACAGGTATTATATATACTTTTATTACATTAAATGATTATTATATTAAATTAGACATTACCAGAAGAACAAACTGATGGGGTCCTGAAGTGGCCCCCATCATCTCTCTCAATAATTGCCATTGTTCTTTAAAAATATTAAAAAGCAGTTTAAGTGATCATACTTGGAATATGTCAATTAAAGCAATTCTATTTCACATTTGTCAACAATCATCATTTTACTGAAATAATCAGATAAAAAACAATACAGCCAACCCTACTTTTCGCTTTTTCATATTTTGTTCTGATGTCTGTCAACATGGCCAGAAATTTGCTCTCACTATTGACAGGCCACAATTGGAATCACCACAATTTGGTAAGGTGCCACGGCAGTATCACGGGTCTTGTTCTTATATCTGCACAATTATTTGCTTAAGATGACCTCCCCCCCCCCAACTCTCTATGGTATGAGTGTCGTGAGCAAACTGGATCAACATAATTTGTCTAATAATTTGCCTTCAGATGAGTATATAACGTGATTGATAACCAAAGGCAAATTCAGGGTAAATTACTTGTTACAGATACAACCAGGTACGTTGCCTGTTACAAGAATACTCATAGCAAATATGATTTACAAATCTCATCCATGGTTTTTATTTATTTTCATGACTTAAAAGCACAAATAACGTAATTTATCAATTTTTACACAAATAACTTCTTATTTAGAAAGCCAATAGTTGAAATATTTTGAAAAACTTTGAGAAGGAAAATTCTGCCCAACAAGATTCAAAATGATGATGTAATGCATTTTGTACTACTTAAGTTTCAAGCTTGAGTAATTAAAAAGAAAATTATTAATCTTTGAATTGATGTCACATTCTGAATAAATTCATGAATCATGGCACATTTGACCATACAGGTGACATCTGCTCAGTTACATTCCAATTTTCAGAAAGAGCACCTAGGGCGACAGTTTCTTATCCCTCTTCTACTACTAAACCATAGGTGAGGGGTTTTAGCTCAAAGCCAACTTAGAGATTATGATGCATAAAATATTGTCTTTCCTAGACACTGAAGATGTGTACTCGTAATGAAGAGGAAGCTTGGCAGCCAAGGCAGATAAAATATTTATCTTTATTTCAAGAAAAACATATTACGGCCACAAATTACATGCCACCTATAATTGGTGCTTATTTCACACGTTTACATGTTTTATAGCTTTGCAGTAAGAAAGCAGCAAGCAGTGATCCATCTAAGCTAGAGATAGTCAACTTCATACCTACTGCCCACTGCATAGGCAGTAAAATTTCTATACCACCACAGTAATATAACACAACTGCAAAGAAGTTTTTAAGTGGAGGTTTAGTAAAAAATATATACAGTACAAAGTCCGCAATCCGGACTCGCCGATTCTGGATTATAGATCATCAATTTAAATCTGGCAAGATGGCATGCAGAAATTATACAATTAAAAATATGAAACCATAATTTATGAAAAAAAGAACAATTATGATCTAAAGGGTATCAAAATTTACAAAAAAAAAAAAAAGCTTAATATTTATTTGTTTACTTTATTAAGCATTTCTTTCAATGTAAGTTGTTTAAGTTGCTTCGTTTTATGTGAGAATACTTTCTCTTTAATTCTATAAGCAGACATAATTTCTTGTTCAGTAACAAAGTTCCACTATTCAAATCCTGCAATTGCTGTATTGAGAATACCGACTAACTTGTCAATCGAAATTTTTTCGTTTTCAATAACCTCTCTGTCACTTTCTTCACTATCAGAAGCAGTATTTTCTGGATTTAGAACCATACTACAGATTTTGCAGTCCGTTAATTGATTGATGTTGGGGCATTGTCGTCGCAATGAAAATTTTTTATATCATCTTTATTTATTACTGCTTCTCCACATTTCTTTACAAAATCCAATAACTGGAAAATTTCCCCTTTAGTTTTCCGAAAACCTTCAAATTCGCGGCTATCATCTTCATCTTCCTCACCATGAAATATGAGCTGGCCATAAATTATGCCAAGCATTTTTTAACGTATCTTGGAGACACATCCTCCCACGATCTTGTGATGCTCCACACAGTAGATTTTATGCTAAAAAATTTCAAAAAGTCTCGCCATTGTTAAAAAAAATTTAACATATATTTTTTTAAATGCTACTTTATATTTGCATTTCAAAACGTGCACTTTTCCCATATCCATAGGCTGAATGATAGATGTACAATTTGAAGGGAAAAATAATACGAATACAATATCTTTCACTAAAACTTTATGAAATATGCGCCGAACAGTTGGCAACAATCAGGACTATTTTTGAGTCATCAGGTAAACCAACCAAATTCAAATGTCGCCGAGCCTCAGGTATAAAATGATTTCAAAACCAATCATTCATCAACGCTTGTGTCATCCATTGTTCTTTTATTTGCACGATATATAATGGGGAAAATCGTTATTCCTTTAAATGCTCAAGGTCGTGCATGTTTTCTGATTACGAAAAGTTTGCACCTGTGCATTCCTACAGCATTTGCGCATGCTAAAATTGTTAGTCTCGCTTTGGAATCTTTGATGCCAGTTAGAGCCTTTTCTGTAGAGGTTGCCAAGGTATATTGTTATGTTGCCAAGGTTATTTGATAATGGTATAGATATATTCCCAAATTGCTATATCTATACCATTATCAAATAAGAACTCAATATTAAACCAGCAACTCAAATGTGACTTAAAAATGTAGAATTATGTAAATCTTCTCATGTTTAAATGGGCATGTTCGCTAGATCTGAAGCAAAGATGACTGTGGTTTCGTACAAACCCTATAACGGAATTATATCTATATATCTTAAAATGCATAACCACCAAACTGTGGCAAATCCTAAGTATTCCTGAAACACAATTGCACTTCTAAAGAAAAGGAGACTGCTGCCTACCAACATTGTATTCCAATTGTCACAAAGTTTTGCTTTTGACAACGAGGTAGATAATCAAAAGTATTTCAAAGAATGTGAATCAATGTATACTTAAGGCATTACATTTGCAAATGGACAAAGTCTCATTTGAAGTTACGATATCAGAAGTTTTACAATCAAAATCACTAAATCCTTAACAGAAAATAACTGAAATATTTTAATCAGAAGAGATTACATGTTCCTGTATTAAAAACAAATCTAATTTCAATTAAAAAATAAAAGAAAAAAGATTCTAAGTTTTGTCTGAAGGAAATAAATGTAATCATGAAAGACTAAGTTATTAAAGAATGTAATGCAACTAACAATCTTCACCAAATTACACCCACTGAAAGAAATATACTAACCACGAGATCACGTAGCATTGAAATAGTGTAACACACTTTTGTTCAGCCAGAACAGTAAAAAAATGAGAAAATTCTAGCAGAAATTCAATTCGTCTGACAATCAAAACAGGAAACAAATGGCATTAAAATTGCCCAAGTAACATAAGCTAAAGTGACCATATGTCCCAAATTTCCTGGGACAGTCCCAATTTTTTTTTTTTTTTTTTTTTTTTTTTTTTTTTTTTTTTTTTTTTTTTTTTTTTTTTTTTTTGTTTTTTTTTTTTTTTTTTTTTTTTTTTTTTTTCATTTTTTGGTCACAAATAGTTAATTGTGAATTATACTTTAGATAACTTTTCTTTGTATTTTTAATTCCATGGTTTTGATATGTTAATAATATTTTCCGACTTACGATAAATGTTGATAGTCCAACGATTTACTCAACAGTAGCAAAACTAAACTTTGACCCTAAAAGTAACTTATTATTTTAATACGTAGTATTATCGTAATTGCACTCGATAATTTGAATTCATTGATTCTGTGAGTGAGAAACATTGCTTAGTATTCCAAATTTGTAGTATTTATTTTCTTCTTCATTGTGCGATCTTCTTATTTCCTCTTCATTGTAAGCAAATAGATTTTTTTTATTTACTAATATTTGGAATTCCAGGCTCCCTACAGAGAATATGATGAGATTTAGGAATTTAAGAAACAGTGATATGAAAGCTGTGTATGATTCCGATATGCAATAAATATAATTTTCTTATTTTCATTAATGTAAAGTTTAAAACTGTTAGAAGATTGTGCCGTTATGTAGCAATAAGGTAAAATGTAAAAATGATAAAATTAAAATGCTTCATAATATTAATTTAAATTTTAAAAAACTTTTTTTTATTATATAATGCTAATGCTTAAAAACCTGGACTGGGACATTGTTTACAATTTTAATAA